CAGCAAAGAAGTTAATAATTAACTTGTGTTATCCTTGAAACTTAAGGGAAAATACAATCTCTAATCTTGGCACAGTTTATTGCAGATAGGTTTGTGCAATGGAGGTTTCTGTCCTAAATCTTCCTCCTTTTCAACTCTATAGAAAGAATTCTGTAAACTGAGAGCAGATTGACTACTGGTAAATACAGTTTTTAAATGAAGACATACAGTAGAATTAACTATCCTGTCGGAACAGATCTATGGTCTGGATACTAAAGTTTAAATATCACTTTAAGAAAAGTAACACATCTACTTCTAGTACAAGAAGGCTGTTATCCACTACCCACTTGGTAAGAAAATCCAACCTCATTCCTCTACTCATCATCAGACCTTCTCCTTCCTTTGCCCAGCGGCCAATACCAACAGAGATCGCCCAAGACGCTTTCAAATGGTTTCTCTGGGGTCTTGCCTGGTTCTTTGGGGACAAGAGAATCACAATGCTTGCTTACTCTCTGTGGGGGAAAAAGCCACAGATAGAAATCAGTCAGAAAAGTGAAATATTCCTGGGCCAATAAGTTATCTGCTATAATTTCCTTCTCTAAGTAGGCTCTAACTTGACCCACAGTAAACTTGCTAATCTTGAAGATGTCACTGGACCGTTGGTTGCTTTGGCTGAAACATGCTACCACATATACTTCTTTGGGTTGTGTGTGTTTGTGTGTTTATTTTTTTACTCTCTGTTACAGTAAACCAAAGGATGGTCCAGTCTAGGCCAATTTCATCAGATGTCAGCTGCTTAGCACTTGGATGGGAGACCGCAAATTAAATCCATGGTTGCTATGCACCTCTGTTTGTCTCTTGCCTTGAAAACCCTATGGGTTTGCCATAAATTGCATGTTCTTCCAAATACTGGACAGAGTGAGGTGAAAATACAAAATGAACACTTGCAACTTAACAGAAGAAGAGTATTCAGGAAATTTGTTCTGAGCTCAGGAAATTGTGACAGGTCTCTGGTATATCTTATCCCAACTCAGCAAATATGATCATCCGGATAAAGTCAACCCCTCCCCCCTTCACATAGCCATCATTATCTTCCATTTTCATGTCCCTATTAGCATATCTTGATGGCAGCTAGCAGGAGGGAACAGACTCTTAATGAAGTGATGTCAGTTCTTAGGGTAAAGTGTTTTATCTATTACGGCTGGGCAGAAATCACTTACCATGAGAAAGCTTTTACCAGCCACGGGGAGTCCTGGCATCCTGATGGTCAACATAATGTTTGAACTGGCACAGATATGGGCAATATAATGTGGGAGTGGAGTGTACGGGTCTCTTCTCCCAGCCTTGCAATAGGAAAAATTAACAACTGGAACAGGTAGTGAAGCCAGGCATGGAATGTAGCAATCACAAACCTAATACTGAGATGCAAGTCAGAAAGGCAAGCCTGACCAGGAAATAGACTAGTCAATTTAAAAAACAGCCATGCTCATGACTAGAAGCTGAGGTATTCAATCCTGATTCGTCATAGGACTGAGTAGACTCCCAGCATGCCAATTAGTTTCACTGTATTTATCTTTGCTTACCTGTCACCCATTTTTAAGCTTTCTCCTGTAGATTCCTGTCTGCCATTTCAAAGTAATATATTAAGCCCCTTCCTTCATGAAGGTGTGCGTACTCAAGTAGAAGTAAATCAATAATTCCATTTACTGTTGTTGCACAGAACTGCATGCCAAAGTTATCCATTAGAGACTATCTATAGGTGGAGGATAACTTAGGAATTTATTCTTTAGGCAACCTAATGAATTCCAAATCTAAACCACCATTCCCTACTACCCCCAGTGGAGAGAAAAAAATCTTTAATGGGCAGACAGCGTGCAGTGCATTGTTAAGTAATTTACAATTGTAAATAGATTGCTGTGCTGTAGCATGTTGGTCATCTTACTAAACAATTATGGATACAAAGGATTCTCTTGCTCACTGGCTGACAGCAACCCTCTTTTTGCCTTCCAGAAGGGTACTGGGGAGAAGAGGCAGGTTTTAGCATGATGTCCAAAGGTAAAAATCTGAAAAGTGGATTCTGAACTATTTACAGAATTCCTTCTAAAGTTTGGAATGGGGGCTGCTTCATTCCCTTACTGAGGGAATATGCCCCACTCTGAGCATTTATAAACCCTTCTGAAGATCCAAATGGATACTGCATGGAGCAAAGTTCTATGACCAAGCAAAAATTTCTCGTCTCTTTCTGCAAAACCTATTCACTGGATTATAACAAAGCACAATCAGTAATGGGACTATTTAACACCAGCTACATTTCACCTAAATGAGTAAATAAAATATATATCTAAATACTCAGAGAATATTTCAGTGTATATTCAACATCAGGTTCACAAAGAAGTACCTGAAAAAGAATTTGGGGAGGAAATTAATGTCATCTCTAGCTTTGTTTCTAAATATCTAGTCATGTGGCCAGACAACAAGAGAGGTCTGTTACTTTCATGTCTTCTTGAAGATACCTTTGATCCTGACAGGAACTGGAGACACCAGTCAGGCAATATTTAGGTATACCATTTAACATATATTATCTGAAAGGAAGGTTGAGCGCCGAACAATAGATTATTTTGAACTATGGTGCTGGAGAAGACTCTTGAGAGTCCCTTGCACTACAAGAAGATCAAATCAGTCAATCCTAAAAGAAATCAACTCTGACTGTTCCCTGGAAGGCCAGATAATGAAACCGAAGCTCAAATACTTTGGCCACCAAATGAGAAGGGAGCACTCACTGGAGAAGACCCTGATGCTGGGAAAGATTGAAGGTCAAAGAAGACGGGGAGGGCAAAGGATGAGATGGTTAGACAGTGTCATAGACGCAATGAACATGAAGTTGAGCAAACTTCAGAGGATGGTGGAAGACCGGAAGGCCTGGCGTGATCTGGTCCATGGGGTCGCGAAGAGTCGGACTCGACTGTGCGACCAAACAACAAATCTGAAAGTCCATTGAACCAACATATTATGGAATATCCTTGCAAGTAGGTTTCCCCCCTCTATAAACAAAATGATGGATTCATTCCATTAAAAAAAAACAGGCTAAAGTTTAGGCATTTCATGTATTGCTTTGCCTTTTTTGCCATTGTTGCAGCCAACGTATGGCAACCCATAGGATTTTTCAAGGCAAGAGACAATCAGAAGTGGTTTGCCATTGCCTACCTCGGCATAGGAACCCTAGACTTCCGTGGTGGTCTCCCATAACTGAACAACAACAACAACAACAACTTATTTTGAACAGTGAAGAGGAAGTTTTATTTTTAAAGAAGTCACTGTCCTAGGGATGTATCTGCATGGAAAACATGACATGTGATTCAAATCTTCCATAGGTTACAAAGATACAGGCACCAGAAGCAATTCATGTAACCATAGCGGCTAAAAACCATGCTGCCACAATTGCATCAATTATGTCAGGATGTTGCAACAGTATCTACAGATGTGTAGATACCAAGGCAAAGGCCACTCTGAGGACTCAGTGAAGGAAGATTAGAAACATGCAAAATAGCTCTTAGTTTTTAATTATACTAGAGATTACCTGATATCCTTGAAAGTTGGATAGAGTTCACTTTCATAATTGAAGCGTTTCATAAAGAAATCACGAATACATTTCACATCTCTGTCAAAGTACCTAAACAAAGAAATTATTTTACAGTAATTAATTGACCTTTAAAATATCAAGTTACCATTTCCCACTAGTACAGCTTTAGTACACACATGTTAATTCTGTCGCTTTAGTACACACATGTTAATTCCGTCAGAAGCTATGGTGGGGCATTATTGCTTGCAGAAGAGATTAAAACTTTCCCTAATGTCATAATTACAAGGTCATGTTCTGGAAATACAAAAAGACTGTGTACATACCATTCAGCATTTTGGTGAGAGGTTGACACCATCTGCGGGAAATCGATCATTGTGATACGATCCTCATTATCCAGCATGAGATTGAACTCATTGAAGTCGCCATGAATCAAGCCATAGTTTGCAAGCTTTACAATTAATTCCATTAACTCACTGTACAGCGAGGCAGGATCTTCAAGGTGATGCACTTGACACCTAAGTAATAAGGCGCCATTAGACTATTTAATATATGATCTAAGAGAAACACCCAAATCTAAATAACAGAAACTGCACCAGGCTCAAAATTTAAATTAGCTGCAAACCATGCTTGTTTTTTCAGAAAAAAAGGAAACAGCCACTGTGCTCTTCCCACCACTGCCCCTTTCTGGAGAGAACTGGGTGGAGTTTGGTTTAGATAAATGAAACTGCCCTGGAGCTGAGCTACCTTCTGCACAACAGCCCTGATCTGTTGGGAAGATCCATTCAACATCACATCTAGTCTGATGGTGGCCACCCAGAAAGGCAGCTGCATTTTATATAAAGAGATGGACCAGTTATCAACTAAATAACAATAATACAATTGTGTAAACGCCTAATCAGCCGCAGATGGTAAAAGGCTGCCTTGGCAGTGGCTGCTACCTGGGCCTCCATTGTCAAGGAAGCATCCAGGAGCACTCCCAAACTCCTGACCCTCGGAGCTGGCACCAATGGCGCCCCACTGAAGGCCGGGAGTGGGAGCCCTACCCCCGTGCCGCTCCGATTCAGGCATAGGACCTCCGTCTTCGTTGGATTTAGTTTCAGGCGACTTTGTCTAAGCCAGTCCGCTACGTCCCGCAGCGCCCGGTCCAGCTTTAGTACACACATGTTAATTCTGTCGCTTTAGTACACACATGTTAATTCCGTCAGAAGCTATGGTGGGGCATTATTGCTTGCAGAAGAGATTAAAACTTTCCCTAATGTCATAATTACAAGGTCATGTTCTGGAAATACAAAAAGACTGTGTACATACCATTCAGCATTTTGGTGAGAGGTTGACACCATCTGCGGGAAATCGATCATTGTGATACGATCCTCATTATCCAGCATGAGATTGAACTCATTGAAGTCGCCATGAATCAAGCCATAGTTTGCAAGCTTTACAATTAATTCCATTAACTCACTGTACAGCGAGGCAGGATCTTCAAGGTGATGCACTTGACACCTAAGTAATAAGGCGCCATTAGACTATTTAATATATGATCTAAGAGAAACACCCAAATCTAAATAACAGAAACTGCACCAGGCTCAAAATTTAAATTAGCTGCAAACCATGCTTGTTTTTTCAGAAAAAAAGGAAACAGCCACTGTGCTCTTCCCACCACTGCCCCTTTCTGGAGAGAACTGGGTGGAGTTTGGTTTAGATAAATGAAACTGCCCTGGAGCTGAGCTACCTTCTGCACAACAGCCCTGATCTGTTGGGAAGATCCATTCAACATCACATCTAGTCTGATGGTGGCCACCCAGAAAGGCAGCTGCATTTTATATAAAGAGATGGACCAGTTATCAACTAAATAACAATAATACAATTGTGTAAACGTGGTACTTCGTACAACTGCTTTCTGAATATTTTAGTCTACAGCAAAGCATATTTGGAGGATCATTATCACTTCCCAAAATGCATATGAACATTTTTTTTGCATTTTCTATGCCAGCTACCCAAAAATGTTGCATTAATTGAGTTTTACTATTAATTTAGTATTTTCAAATCTGTCTGCTCTCCCAGCAGTGATATTTTTTTCTTGAACACTCATAGCTAGAAATTCTCAGTAGTGCTTTGTTTTTAAGAAAGCAGACTGAATATAACGGTTTCCTGAAGAGGTTATTTTAGGGACCTGAACCCATCTCTTTACAATTGTGAACAAAAAAGATCTGGAAACAAAATTATTTTAATAACAAACAATTGATAGCAATACATAAGCCTTACTCAGAAGGTTAACTAGACTGGGTCTCTAAGGTTACTGAGGGTATTATTTGCTGAAGTCACCAATATGCATACCACATCTTTACAATGTGTGCTAACATCCTATAAGAAGATTAAGGTGACTGCTACCACCAAAAAAACAAAGATGTGCTATTTTTCCATGTATGGATTCGCTCAAAGTGCCTGTTATCTATCTTGTGTGGGATCTGTACACATTTGAAGCCACAGGTGTGCACCATGTGTTTTAAAGAACTTAATATTTATATGCTTTATAGTCAAGATATTATAAAAAGCACTGGAAAATAAATTTTGCTTTCATTATAGTTCAAGTTTAGAGTAGATTCCCTTATGATGGAAGCAGCTCGCACCAGATGCGTACATCATTATACTGATAATGTGACCTTTTTCCAACTAAAGCCGATTTACTTTTGATCTAGGGATAAGAATGGGTCAGCCTGGATACTTTCCCCTTCAGCTGTGTAAATACATGCACTCAGCACTTTTATGTGCAAACTTCAGTGACTGCATGCAGTTGTTTAAAAATTACAGAGGAGAACATGAAACTACCACTGAACATTGGATTGGACAACTTTAATTCCTCTCCTGAGTGATGATTATGCCTCTCCTCATGTTATAATCTGTGCTGAAAGGAAACTTCTTGAATTAATAAAATAGCAAACAGTGACCAGCAGCACAATTATAACTGGGCCAATGGACACAGGGTTTAGACAAAGGCATACCTGCACCCAGGGCTTTTTTTGTAGAAAAAACCCAGCAGGAACTCATTAGCATAATAGGCCATACCCAACAGCAGGAACTCATTAGCATATTAGGCCACACCCCTGACAGCACAGCTCATTCGCCTATTAGGCCACACCCCCATGTTACCAGAAGTGTGGTCATCCAGCCACACCCACCTTTTGCTTCTTATTCTCTTTACCTTGTTTGTTGTCAAAACCCAGGGCTTTTTGCATGTTAGGCCACACACCCCTAATTGTAGCCAATCCGAATGAGTTTCTGCTGTTGGGTGTGGCCTATTATGCTAATGAGTTCCTGCTGGGCGTGGCCAACTTGGGAGCCAGCCGGAACGCCGTTACATTCCTGCCCCAAAAGAGCCCTGCCTGCACCTATGATCAGGCAACATCATATACACACAAAGTGTTACCACTCTTGCTAGCAGACGTACAGGCAAAAAAGGGAGTTTCCTCTAAGAAAAAAGGGAAATAACAACCCTACACTACAAAGCCGAGAACTATTAGCAGAGTGATTTCATGGAAGTGACTTTTTTTTTTAAAGAACCCCAAATGGAGAAAGTTCATACACAGGGTTTTTACTGCCTTCCCTTCCCACAGCAGCCATGTGCTTCTGATAAACGTCCCTTGAGGACTGTCACCAGAAGAACTCCATCTCACCACTCATGTGACCTGTACCATGACTTGTGCAGTGGGGTGCAGAATGTCTGTCAAGCTGACCCTCCAAGCTGCCCTTATTTTATTTTTATTTTTTTATTTTTCACATTTATATCCCGCCCTCCCCAGTGGGCTCACTTGCCCACATAACAATCCAAGCTGTTACTATAAGTCCCCCAATCAGCAGGGGTGGTTGTGTAGGGGAGAGAGTCAGGGAGCTGCACTGGAAGGCAGCAAAAACCCTCTCCAGGAACTTGTTCCATTTGCTGTTCTTTTAGATCCAACCCTGAATTTCTTTGCATAACCTTCTGACTAGGGGGTGGAGCTAACAGCTTTTTCAAAAAAAAAGGAATTTCATGTGATCTCTTGCCTTTTATAACTTAAAAAAACAAGAGCTTGCCTGGGATTAGGATTGCCAACTACCTGGAGAAACCATGTCCTACTCCTTTCACAGTGTTTGTTGTCAGCAACTCTACCTGAGATGCCCTTTTGTAACCTTTTCTATTTTTTTTCAATAGTTTCATTTCAGATCCGACTTCAACAAGGTTTACTGAAATGTGCTAATACATATTTTAACATGAAAAACATTTCTAGAAAGATGCATTTAATATTTTTCAATAATCAGTAGATCTACAGTACTGCAAAGGCTTTATGGACAAGTGTAACTCAAGTAAGCAAGTATTTCAAAGTTGCCTTCTCAGATTGTTCAAGCATTAGGAGTAAAAGAGAATACATAAGTACTACTTGGAACCCAGTTTCCCTTGTTCCCATTGAGCCTCTGTGAAAGGAGTAGGACATGGTTTCTCCAGGTAGTTGGCAACCCTAATCCCAGGCAAGCTCTTGTTTTTGAAGTTACACAAGGCAAGAGATCGCATTAAGTTCCTTTTAAAATGTACAGATAAGGAACAGTCTGCATAAATTAGATCTATGGTCCTTTGGTACAGGATTGTCAGTTCTGGCAGCCAGTGACCTCTGGGGTCTCTGAAACTGTCCCAGTTCTGATGCCCAACAGAGTTTATAAATTGGTGATAGCCCTTGGTTCATGTTGGATGAAAGCAGGTCACATTTCACTACCTTAATATATTGCCTATGATTTCTGAACCTTAATCCAGAATGCACAACATTACTTCTTTCATTGCATTGTCCAAGTGTCTACTCTGGCAGTCAGAGTCGGATTTATCATTACAGTCATTTTACATAAAAACATTTGAATAAGAAATATGGGATAAAACCAACAGTGGCATTCTTACATTAAAAACCTGTGACTATAACACAGAAATAGAATAAAACAGCCATAAAACTCAAGTATAATTTAGATAAAAGATTAGAACTTAATCTAATTGCCATACACTTTACGTTCCTTCTAAACCTGGGCACAAAATCTAGCCACCTGTCTTGTTGTCTGATGGTTCCTGTCAGACAGGAGGTAGTTGAGTTTAATCTTATTTGATCTGCCAGGAAACCTTTCTAATGGACTAATAGTCTCTATGTGGATCGCCCTATGGTATACACAATTAAAGAATATATGTACCAGAGAGTCTCTCATACTCTGACAGTCCATTTATTTATTTATTTCCTTCAAATTATATCCTGCACTCCCCGCAAAGCAGGCTCAGGGTGGGTTCCAACCTATAATAATCTGCTGAGTGCAGATTTACATCATAATAACAGAATAACAAAATACACACAATAAATACAATAAAATAAGTAAAATACGATTACTTTTAAAATAAATTATACCTCAACAGACACATAAGAGCAACTCACAGAGGGAAGGAAGGGGGAGGCCAGATTGAACTGGATACCCACTGCCACAACTGAAGGCCTGGCGGAAGAGCTCTGTCTTACAGGCCCTGTGGGACTGTAAAAGCTCTCGCAGGGCCCTGAGGAGCTCATTCCACCAGGCAGGGGCCAGGGCCAAAAAAGCCCTAGCCCCAGGCTGAGGCAAGTCGGTTATCCCTAGGGCCAGGGACCATCCGCAGATGTTGATTCGAAGAGCGCAATGCCCTCCGGGACTCATATGGGCTCATCAGCTCAACATGATCACTACACCAAAGTACCACAAAGCAAACATATTTTCATATAATAAACAGTAGTTTAACTAAGCTGTTGCAGTGTCAAGACTTACAAAGGATAGCCGCTGACAAGTTCCATTACTACTGCATGTCTATTGTAGTCACAGGGTTTGGGAACAGGAAATTTCCTATCATGTAAAGCCTGGATTGGGAAAAAGAGTAAACACTTATCAAGAAATCCTGTTCTGAATTTATCTACTCTGAAATGACTGTAATTATCTGTATATATCCAAAAGGGAAATATAATCCCCCCCCCGGCTTTGCAAAAAAGGGAGGTCATCTTCCATTCAGGTGTACATGAGAGGCATTCTCCTTTTTCTCCTTGGAGCCTTCTTGCACCAATGAGAGGGTGCAAAAGCAGAGAGACAAGCACCCCCACCCCAACTGGCTGGCAAGACTGAAAGCTGACCCCAGAAGGCATTAAGACAGTGGGTAACCACCCCCCCACAAGCCCACTGGGGGGCATGCTCTTCTCTGCTTGCATGCCTTCCGTCTGCTACTACAAGGCGGTGTAGGGCTGTCTTAAATTCAGGAATAGTTTTCCTTTCAGAATTTTTAACGGGGGCATCTTACATTTGAAGGTTGTCTTTGTTTCAGGTAAACATAGTAACAGTCATGGTTTTTGGACTAAGTACTAATTAATGGCACAAACATAAAATGGTGAATGGAACCAAAACAGGCAGCCTGACAATCTATCATTCTGCAAGAACACAAGAGCAAATCTGCAAATTAGCCCACCCAGTTTCTCATGTTACCAACTGGATCCTTCAGAAAAAGCATACAAAGGCACAAAAGTAGCAGGTCCTGTTTGCTGCCCATCGGCTGCTATTCAGAGTAACAGTGATTCTGTGAAGCTATCATAGCTACTACAACCAACAGACCTGCCATCCATGACTGTACCTAATCCCTTTTTAAAGCCTCGTAAGCCTGTGGCTCTCACCACAACCTCTGGGCAATGAACTGCATAAATATATTAGATTGGATCTCTCCCCCTTCTGTTGAGGAATGTTCTTCTGCCAGAGTAAATATGCTCACTTAGCATCAGATTCAACCTGTTGTTTCTCTCAACCAATTGCAATGGGTGACCTCAGGTTCCTGCCTTATGAAATGGAGAAATATTTTTCTTTATAGCCACTTTCCCTAATCATGCTTAATTTTATAAACCTTTATCACACCCCTCTCTTAATCACCTTGTTTTGCAAATTTAAAAACCCTAAAGCTTTACCTTTTCCTAGAAGGGAAGATGATCCAATCCCTCAATAATTTTGGAAGCCCTTCTTTACATCTTTTCCAGCTCGAGGAAACTATTTTTCTAAGACAGAACATCTGTATATAGTATTCCCATAAAACCCACACTGCAGACTTTGCATAAAAACATTAGGACATGGTTTCAGTCCCTTCCCTAATAGCCCTTAGTATGCAACTTGCCTTTTTTCTGTTGCTGCATGCTGAACCAATGCTTATACTAGGCTATCCACCATGTTCCCAGGATCTCTTTCATGGTGATCCATTGAAAAGGCAGACATTATTGATATATACATAAAGCTGGGATTTTTTGGCATCAATATACTTTTTGAAAAGTATTGTAAAAGTTAGTTACTGAAAGTAAATGCAAACAGAAAAATCTTGGAGTACTTCTTTGACTTGCCTTATCAAGCTTAATATAGTCATTAAATGAAACATTCCCCAAATGATCTTCAGAGATTGAGGAGGGACATAGGGAGGAGACAATGTATTAAATAGGCAAAGCTGGTCAAGAATTGCATGGTAAACCCATTGCTCTGAATTGTATCAGGAATCTAGCACACACTTCTTTGTCTCTTTCAACTTGAACTGTAACCTCTCTGTGGCAGGAGAACCAGGGGACAATTAATGATACCTTCATGTAGGCAAACTCCTTCATTGCAGCAAGACGCGACAGGTAGAGCCACGACATCTTGTGCCTGTGCTTGTGGTAGTCCCGCTTGTTTTTTAAGTTCCGAAATGATGTCCTCCCAAGCCTATGCAACTTCAGTGCAAACTGTTCCTCTTCTTCATTTGCCACAATATAAATATCTTTAAAACATGGGAAAGTTGCAATAAATTAGAATCTCTATAAACATGCACTGTAAGCATTCTGGTACCACCTGCTTAACGGCTGGAAGAGATTTCACAATAGAGCATAATACACAAACAGCAGCAATATTTCCAATACTGTGCCAAGTACAGGCTCATCCAATTAAATTTTCAAGGAGCTAGACACAGCAGATTTTAGAAGTGGCATGCAGAAGGTCCAACATTCAATCCCCAGCATCTTTAGCTAGAATAATCAGGTAGTAGATTATGTGAAAGACTTCTGCTCAAGGCCCAGAAGAGTTGCTGCCAGTCAGAGTAGACAATATTGACTCTGAAAGACCAACAGTCTGACTCAGTATAAAGCAGCCTCATGTGTTCAACTTATAAATGGTGAATAATCACAGGAAATCTCAGATGCTATTCAGACAGATGAAATTTACTAATTATTCATGAACTGTCATTCATGAACTGAGCCCGCTGGGGAGGGCGGGGTATAAATCTAATAAATAAATAAATAAAAATAAATTCAACAGAACTGCTAGATCCCACCCGTTTGTAAATACCTGATTCTTTGCCAACACCCATCTGGTTTCCAACAGAACAGATAACCTGACGAGACGAAAGAGTTTTCAAGGCAAGGTAATCATATCCTCCATTAGTTAATCGATAGCCTTGGACAGCTGTGGGATTAAAATATGAGCAAGTGAATTATCCAATGAGTTATTTCTGTGTAAACATTATACTAAGATTCCTCCTAAACTGAGAATACCATAACAACACAAACAGTCCTGCAAAGCAAGCTAGATTTCATTTTGTGTGTGTGCAGGGGTCATATCGACTTATTCAGATATTTATCCCCTACTTGTCTCAGGAAACCCAAAGTGGCTTTCAACTTTACAACAATCACCACAGGAAGGTTAGGATGAGGGCAATTGACCCAGGTCACCCAGTGAGATTCCAAGACACAGTACAAAATTGAACGTAGGTCTTTCAGATCCTAGTCCAACCACACACCACACTAGCTGGCATGAATTAGCCTCAAAGAGGGTTGTATTTGGTAAACAATTTAGAATTAAATGCAGGCATTGGAATAATAATAATTCTTAACAATCCTCATATGGCAGTGTGTGTAGAATAGCCAGGAGATCCTAAGATTGTCTGGCAGCCAGAAGTTCTAGCTCTTTTAGTGTTATACACTACTAGGTGGCAAGCTAGACTAGTTTTTAAATTTATTTTTATTTTATTTCATTTGTATCTTGCCCTCCCCTGTAAGTAGGTTCAGGGCAGTAACAACAGTCATATTCACAACACTATTACAAAAAATCATAAGAATGTTAAAACATACAATTTAAAACCAGATTAAAATCACTTCAGTAAGATGGCAGACCAGTTTGTGGGAATCCTGTATGGGTGCAGCTTGGTGATCAATAGGCATCCAATTCACTGGAGAGTGCTGTGCAGATTTCCATAGCACCAAGGGGCCATTTTAAGGCAAGAGACGTTTCAGAGGTCGTTTGCCATTACCTGCCTCTGTGTCATGCCCCTGGTATTCCTGGAGGTCACCCATCCAAATACTAGCCACAGCCAACCCTGCATAGCTTCCGAGATCTCATGAAACAGGACTTGCCTGGGCTATCCAGGTCAGGGTTATGTATTGTTTTTGTTTTAGATGCTGAGATAGCAAGTAGCTGTCCCATTCACCTGATTGTCACTAGCTGCATTAATTAACAGAGATTACTGAAGCAATGTTAACTGCATGCTTGCATAATTCATACTCACTTATAGTTCGTTCATAAGCCAAGAGTTTGTGCTTTGCTAATTCTCGCAGAATTTTGTTACACCCTCCATGTTTTAAACTGGCAATGGAGGCAATCAAGCTTGGAGGAACTATTTCATGGTTCTTCATGCCCATTTCCACCTGAAACAGATAAATAAGATCTCAGAAAACATATTGGTTTTTAATTGTCAATGGTTTCTGTTTTACTCTGGAAAGGTGGCATACAAATTTTCTAAATAAATAAACATTTTGGCAAACATTATTTCCTACACCATGCCTATCCCCTCTCACATTTTCTTCTTTCCAGGACCTTAATTTAGTACAGTATTTATATTTGTCCCATGCCACAACAGTGTACCTTATTTGATGCTTACTGACTCTTCAATTCAAACAAAGTTTTAAAAATATACATCTAAAAATGAAATGCCTGGTAATTAAAATAAACTCCATCTGCACCAACATAATGGGATTTCAGTTAGATTTAGATTGCGCTCCTGAAACACTGGCAAAGTGCCCAAACCTTTACAAGTGGTGCTCCAATCTATAAGCCCTAGTTTTCTTTGGTTGCTGGGCATAAGGGGGGGGGGGGGGAAGGAGACACAAGGCCTGATCCAATGGCAAACTACAATATCCCTCAAACAAATCAGCCATTCTTCTTCCCTGTCCTCCAGGCTCGTAGACAGTGGGGTATTTTGGGGCTCCACCCCCTCATATGTGCACCCCCTCAAATGTAAGACACACCTCACAACAGCTGCTGCCCCTCTCCCCACTCCCTCCCCTCCTGTGAGGGTCCTTTACATCTTGCAGCCACCTCTCTCCCTCCCCTCCTCCAAGATTTAAAGGGCCCTCCATCTGATCAGTGGGCTCTTTAAATTTTGCAGGAGATGAGGGAGGGGGCGGCTGCCGGCTGCATGCCTTCCCTGAACTCTAAGCAGCGATTTTGCCAAAGGGAACCCTGTAAGTGCTGTTTTTTCAAGCAGGGGCTGCCTGAGCCTGAATTCCAAGCTGCAAAATCCCCACTTGGAGTTCAGGGAAGGCGTGCCCCCCACCACAACATTTCCCTATGCCCCACCAAGCCAAAATTTCTGGCTATGGGGCTGCTGTCGCATTGAAGTACACAGAAGTGCTGGTTGTTTCAAGACACCCCATCCCCACACAGAGAGATGGGTCACAAAAGCATCCAGAGACAAGAGGATTGAAAACTCCAGTTGGCTTCATGTGTTTGGCAGCAAACAGACATTTCTGTTAGTATGTGGCAGAAGCTGCACCCTTGCTCCACGGTGTATGCACATTTTACAGCTTTGTGCATTGGTGTAAAAGAGACCATAACGTGAAAGGAGGCTCCCTACTTTCTCTGTTGCTTTAGGCATTCCAACTCCTTAACACCTGTTTAGTATCAAAAAACATCCTGAATCCAGAGAAGTATTAGCATTTTGCCGTTAAAGCAAAAGTCATCCTAAAGACCAAACTCTTGTTGTGGCATCAGCTTTTATGAACTATGGCAGATTTCATCAGATGCATTTGTCCTAGATCAGCAGAAATACACACATTTACAGATGCACATGTGGATATGTAAACATGCATGGATCTACTGACTGAGGATACACACAAATCTGGATGACACCCCTTAAATCAGCAGGTATGTCAGCCAGTAGTTCCACAAGTGTACACATATCTGCTGACATCATACAGTTGATGAAAAAAGGCTCTAATCCCCAAAGGATAAGCCTATACCTAACCTAATTCAATTATATCTGCTTTTTATCTTATCTTGACTCCAAAGGGCAGAGGTCTCCTCTCCTCCATTATATTCTCACAACAATCCTGTGAGGCTGAATAGGTAGAGAGCAACAACGAATGACTCAAAGAGCTTCACAGATCCCCACAGTCCCGGTCTAACTTTACATCCCTATTTAACTGTTAGCTTCTAAAGTTCCACAAGACTCCGTTCTATATTCTCACAACAATCCTGTGAGGCAGAATAGGTAGAGAGCAACAACGAATGCCTCAAAGAGCTTCACAGATCGCCACAGTCCCAGTCTAACTTTACATCCCTATTTAGCTTCTAAAGTTCCACAAGACTCCGTTTTATATTAGCCTACCCCCAACTATCTGATTAGAACTAGCAAAGTGGGCAGACACTGGAAGACAAGAAGGAAGGGCGCTGATCGATAGGACAGGGGCTACTTTTGACATTTCAGTTTGACGGAATAATATATAAGTATTCAACCGGGTGCGAGCTTCCTAGGCCACAACACAGATCCCGCATAAATCTGCCGGTGGGAAATCTGTTTTCCATCTGACGCACACACACGTGGCCCTAACCGCTCGGCCCCGCTCCTAGGCCACCCCTGAATTACCTACTCGATCGCTAATTGATCCTTACCGCAGTCAGTACCCGAAAGTGGTCCCGGGAAAGGTACCGGAGCAAAGTGACGTTCAGTTTCCCCATGGTCTCGCCCACCTACCCCCCGTCCACGTTGCAATGGCGTATCCTGGGTAAACCCAAGCCAAACTCTACTAAACTCCCGCGACTGGCGCTTCCGTCTCGCCGACGAGATCCGTGTTCGCATGCGCCCTCCACTTCCTCCACCACAGTGTATCGCGCATGCGCGACGTTGGAGGCGGTCCTCTCCTCTTGTTAAACAGGCGGGGTTAGTAACTCTATCGGAGTCGTCGGCTGACAGGTCCTTGAAAGTAGTGTAAACAATAACACGATAGCCTCCGACGAATTGGCTCCTTCAAGTTCACTACAGGTTTATAATTTGATGTGCTTAATTGTATTGCGAAAGTATTTAAAACTTGTTGAGAAGATTTTTATTTTAGTCAGATTTACAGCGGTGCTTTGTATGTGCCTGTAGGGCCCGCTGCCTAGGAAACGCGTCGCGCGGGAGAAAGTGACTCAAAACAAGGCTCTCCGTCAGCCTCTGAAAAACCATGAGCTCCCGTGGCGACCAACCGGCGTCTCTGTCTCGGACCTCAGCCAAGGTAACATCCCCTCAAAAACATCCCCCGAGGATTTGATGGTGGAGGGAAGGAAGAAACGAGGGATTAAAAACCAAAAAGTTATTTTCCGTTTGCTACGCTTGGCTGGGGGTTGAAGTCGGGCTGCCAATTGTCTTGGAGACAAATGTCGTGTACCTTAAACGGAGGCGTATTTACCAGGTGATGCTTTTTATCTTCCTGCCATGAGACGTTTCAGCTGGGCCGGGACACTTTTCTCTAGATTTGTTGCCAGCCTTAAATTGAGAAAGCAGCTTAGATAACAGCCAAGAAGGAATCCGATCTCAAGATCAGATTTGGTGCAGTAATACTTCGGTTCTTGTTATGTCTTAAGTAATAAAGCAATGTTTAGCTTAAGCATAAACTCCATTAAAACAAAGCAGAGTTTGGATTGAAGAACTAACCAATCAGAGAAACATATGTTTTCGGGAAGGAGCCACTCTCATAGGTTCCAAGCCGTGCCATGCTATTTGGTTGTTATCTGTTTGTTGGGTGTGGTTTACCCCGTTGAAATCATATATAAGTCAGCTGGGGTTCTTTGTACTTTGTCTTGAAGTCTCTGTCTATTCTTGTGTTGTTATGAGCTGAATAAATATGAATCACTTGTTTAAGAAGCTGCCTCAATCTCAGTGCATAATAGTTCTGCTTCCATGGCAGGATTGGAAAATAGTCTGTGATCTACAGCCCAGTACCGGGATCTCCCGTTGAGGTCATAGGGTGCAACGGTATAGCTGTACTGGTCGCATCCTGCATATATGCCCTGGAATATTCATTTGTGTGAGTTGAATATCACAGTGTTGTCTGTACCTAGCTATGTTTCTCAACAATTGAACTGTTTGTGGAAGTTCTCAATAGCTACCTAGAGAAAGCAATGGGATGGATGAAGACCAGTAAACTGAAGCTCAGTCCAAACAAGACTCAGGTGCTGTGACAAAGGTATTTAAAGACTACAGTGTCAGCTTGTCTTGGAAGAGTTACACTCCACTCCAAAGAGAAGGTTTGAAGTTTGGAAGTGCTGCTGGAACCTGGCCTACAGCTTGAGCTCAGGTCTCATCAACTGATTAAAAAGAATCTCTGTCTGATATGCTAGCTATGGCTCTTGGATGATATCAATGCAGAACATTATGTGCAGTTGAAATGCTATAGGTTGTTCAGTTGATACATTACATTGATTTTTATGGGAATTTTCAAATACTTTCCCCCCAAGGTTTTCTTCTAGATCAGTTTTATTTTAATTCTTCCTCTATGAGGAACTTTATGTAGCCAAAGGAAATTCAATTTACATTCTTGTTTCTGCTCTTTGCAGCAGATTTAAAGCTACTATTAAAAGATAGACCATTATGTGACTACATCCAACGCACTTCTGTGTATTTCTGGGGTGAACTTTTTTAAAAAGGTATAGTTTAGGTACAGCTGTGTTATTAACTTTAGCCTGAAATAAGTTTTAAGTGAATTGGACCACTATTGCTTGACATAGCAAGAAACATTAGTTGACACATTTCTGAAAGCTGTGAAAGGTTATGCAAAAAATGAATAGGAGACCTATGGTACTTTATAGACTAACACAGATATTCTGTTGAAATCTTTGTCCTTAAGTATTACTAGGTTAATTGTGTGTTTTGCTTTTGGATTACTATGCATTTGTCACTATGGTTTTACCTTCAAGTGTTGCCTATTAGTCGCCACTGATTTGACAAAACTTTTTTTGTTTGTTAATGATCATGGGTGCCCCCCTAAATGGACAATTCACCTGCAGGGGTGAAGTCTCAGTCCAGGGCTCTGCATGGTGTAGAACGGTGTTTTGAGTGGACATAGACAGAAGCAGAGAGAGAAAATTAACACCTTCCAGCTGCAGTTGTAAAAAAAAAAGGCAGTGCAGGACGGATGGTGCAAGTTGATTTCTGGGAATTTTTTGCTCACTAAAGGCATGACTACTTCTTTGCCTTCATTAAATTCTGCAGATATATCAAAGATAATTTAAGGTTCCTGTACTGTCTTTATTTCTGAGCCCTCTAGGCTGTGGGGGCAGTATGTATTATAATTTTTTGATTGTGTTTTTGCACAACAGTTTAATTCTTGTTACCCTGTCTTAATAAGCTTTTCCAAGAGAAGGTAAAATTGCTTTTAATCATTATATTCTAGAATGCTTTTTTAAATTCACTATTCACAGGTTTGACAATAAATCCTAACAGTGCACTGGAAATACATACAGAGCTACCAAATCAGCAACAATTTTGTAGTGTCTTCACTGGTGGTTTAACACTTGCTGCTGCTTTTAAAAGCATGAGAATTGTCTGCATCAGGCTGAGGCTCTTTCTGATCCAGCAACTTGATTCCCAGTTCCAGCTGGATGTTTCCAGAAAGCATGTCAGAAGGCAAACAATCCTCTGTAATTGCTTCTCACTGGTATTCAGATGCATAAGCCCTTGGAATCTGAAGACTCCATGTATCATGGCTAATATATAGAAGTTAGACCAACAGCTATTTACCTGAATCTGTTATAAACTCTTAAGTCAATAGCTGTTATTGCATTTGTGGCACTGAATTCCCTAAGTTAATTGTGCATTTTGTGAATTAGCATCTTATTTTCTCCTCTTGAATTTCCTGCCAATTAGTTTCATTGGATGACTAACATTATTTTGTACGGACAATATATTTTACTTTTTTATTGTATAACTAGAAATAATGCCCGTTGCGGAAATAAATACAACGGGATCTAGAAAGAGGCTCTGGGAGAGTGCTCTGGCTTTGGGCAAACAGTGTCAGTTTCCTGTGGCGACCTCAGCAGGGTTTAATGACAGAGTCCACTGTTTTCTCCAGAGGGACTGATCTCTGCTACCTGAAGAGCATTTGTATGTTTGAGTTATCTGTAGCCCTCACCTGGAGAGTGGTAACCATTGTTACCCTTTCTCCTCTCCCCTATGAGGTATGTTATGCAACTGAAAATCCCAACTGCCTTGCGGGGGGGGGGAGTTTGAGGTGTGGAATGGACTGAAGTTCAATCAGCTTCCATATGCAAAAGACCAGGTTGTCGCAGCAGTTGTGGTGTGGGCGGGACCCAGGCTTTGCCTTCTGATTGGTGGCGATATATGCTGAGGAGCAGTGCCATCAGCCATACCCTAAGGGAGTGCATTTTAGAATTAGAACTTTGGCACCCACTATTCAATTATATATAAGGAGAGATAGTTAAGGGGAAAGATGTAGTGATAGAATGAGATATTTCATTATATTTTACAGTCTGAAGAAACTGGTAGGTGCTCGAGATAGTAAATTTATATGACATATACAATACTGATCTTTTTATTTTCTCTTTCCTAATAGTCCCAAGCATAGAATTGTCCTTGTTAACTGTTGCTACATGTCAAGTGATGTTGTCTTTGAGCTATGCACTACAGCCTCAAGCTCTGTTTCGTCATTAGTCACTGTCCATTCAGACCCTGTCAGTACATATATGGTTGGGGTTTTTTGCACATGATTTGAATTTCATTTGCTATTTTCTTATCCTTTCACCCCATCTGGAAAATCCTTTTGGATTTTTATACCTGTGGGTTCCAGTTTTGAGTAAATTGGTGACATCTGCAAGCTTGACTGCCTTATTCCTCATTTCTAATTCTATAACATTTAAAATGTTAAAAAACATCTAAACCGGTGCAGGTCCTTGAAGAACTATTGCAAGCTTTTTTCCCTTTGTGAAAACTGTCTATTATTTTGCTTCAGGGAAGGGTGTGTGTGTGAGATAGAGTACATGCATGAACACATTGTTAAGCAATTCCAGTGAATTTTATCAAATTAATAAACTATGATGGAACTTTTTTGTGTAATGAAATGCATATCAAAATTAGTGGGCAATATCCTATCACTGTGTGCACAAAATGCATTGTTTCCCCATGTTCTGGCTCATGGAAACATCACTCTCAGGGTCATGGGACTACATGGAGGAACAGAAATAGAGCCTGCTGGATCAGACCAGTGGCCCATCTAGTCTAGCATACTGACTCAGTTCAGCCAGTTGCCCTGGAGGGCCAAACTCACAGGGTGTAGAGGCCATAGTGTTTGGAGCTTTGCTGCCTCTGTATATGGAAGCTCCCTTTTGTCACCATGGCTAGCAGTCATTGATGGACCTCTCCTCCATGGATCTGTCTAGCCGTCTTTTAAAGCTATTTGTGCTCGTGGCTATCATGATGTTCGCTGGCAATGAATTCCATAGTTTAATTACTTGCTGAGTAAAGAAGTATTTCCTGAGCCTATTTTCCAATAGCTTCATTGGGCATCCCCAAATTCTAGTATTATGGGAGATGGAGTAAAAGCTCTCTCTATCAATTTTCTCTACCCCATGTACTCCTATAAACCTCTGTCATGTCTCCCCTTAGCCATATTTTTTTCTTAACTGAAAGGTCCCAGGCTCTCTAGGCTTTTCTCATATGAAAGGTGCTCCAACCTCTTAATCATCTTGGTTGCAGTGTTCCCTCTAAGCTGTGCATGTGAGCGGCCACACATTAACACAGGAACCCTGCTCAACAGCAGTCTGGAGCCACGTAGGGTCTTGCACTACCCACTGCCCATTTTAAGATTGCAGCAGTCA